TCACAACCCCAAAGAAGTGTGTGCGGCGTCGAGCCTGTTGTTTTGTTTCCGGTCTAGCTAGATCCGCTTGCGCTTTGGTCGACGAATCAACAAAACGTCCTCACGCGGCGCAAGCATGGGTTTCAGAGCGCAGCGTGCATGCCGCGTCCTATTGCAAAATCATGTGAAAAAAAACCTACAAAGTTTGCTAGGCCAAAAAGATTGTTAGTCGCACGATAAAAAAATGTACGCCGTAAAAACGCGTTTAACTGAGAGCCCTAGTTATAATGCATCTCCATTCATTGTAACTGTAAGGAAAAGAGAAACCAGCAGAGTCTTCAAAATATATTTCTTGTATTCCACAACATAAAGAAAGTCGAACAGATCTGACACAAAACGAGGTTGAGTATATGACGAAAAAGTAAATTTATGGGTGCGCTGGCCCTTTAAATAAGTGAACTGAGACCATTTCTAATATCACAAATCTCCACATTCTCCGAACAACCATTGTTCACCATCTAATCAAATCCTGAAGGATCAAACCACCCGTTTCACTCGCACAGAAATTCATCACAACATGCCTTATTCACGGCAGCGCCATCTTTGATTTTTAACGAGAATGAAAGCGAGGCTGTGAGGGATAGACTTGCATCTCTTCAATGGGCTGTACTGTTATTTAATATGCTTTCGGATTGTTCTGCTCATGAAACACTGGAAAAATATCTTTCCAAGAAATGTCAGTTGACAAAAAACTCCCGACAATGTAAGCTGTGGAAATTTGTAAACAATCTAGCCGCTTTATTCAGCTTTTTACAGCGGATGCCGTTGGAAACACGGTAAGTCTATCCCTCACCGCCTCACTTTCATACCTGTCATGGCGCTGCTCTGAATAAGGTCTATAGAGGTCAGAAACTTGACAATCTCTTGGTAAACAAACCTCTCTCGGTCTCCTGATGCGAGTTAGATAAGTCTGTCACACTAAACACTGAGCGAGTCGGCGTGATTCGAGCGCGATTCAGTTGTGTACAGTGACAAAGATGGATGGGGGAAACAAATCGCCCCGAACGACAACACATGACGAAACACCAACCATTAACCAAATAACGTGTACATTTTTAGGGCACTATATGAGTAATTGCCATTTTTCCGATGATGCTGACCCTAAATGACACTATCCCCGGGCAGAACTTATTCTTGGTGATGTCACCCCTTAGTGAAAGTTTTCCACGTGGTTTAACAATGCATCTAATGTCATCTCTAATCAAAAGCAAAGGGAAATAAGCAAAAGAGACACGTTTACATATGCCTACACATGGAAAATGATGTCAAAATGAGTTTAGTGAGAACGTGAATAGAGGTGTATCATTATATTGGATCTGTGCGTTCAGTCTTAAAGTGACAGCAGCCTAATATACCCGCCATTAATCTTAAACAAACAAAATGCAAAGAGAAAATCACTTTTGTAGCTTAAACAAAGATTGACTGTATGTAATTTATACCGTGAAGACTATGCAGTGTATTTTACATTTGATGTTCTGTCCCTGAATAATGTTAGACTTAAAGCACTGTTTTCTTCATTTGTATCTTTATTCAACTGTATTTTTCTATGCTTGTGATTTGTTTAGTATTTTCTATTTTCTAATTCTTTCCAAATAGAGCTTTTTTTAAGTCATTTGGTGAAATTGTTTTCATGTCAAAATACGTATTGTCGGAAAACAATCAGTTTTGTTTCCGATATTGACATGAGTAACTCTCTTTCTAATGTCAGTCAAACACTTTATTAAAACATTTCATAACATCAACTGTGTCAATTAAAACAAGTGTGCTTCTGAGGAAATAAACCTGGCCTTGAAAAACACGAACGTTGACACAAAAGGTACATGACTACAATGAAACTGACAATGTCAGATGAGAACGAAAGAAGCTGAAGAACAATCAAAACGACAGTAAAAAAAGTGACTTAAACATATACACATTTAGCAGATGCTTTTAATCTAAAGCCACTTGCATTCAAGATGGTTTACCAGAACGTGTGTCACACAGCGTTAGCTTTAATAATGCCATGCGCTAACAGTGACATGATAAAACAAACCCATGTTTAATAAAAGATGTCAAGCAACTAAATGTATTGCCACTGTGTATTGTCAAGACAAAGGCAGCAGCAAAATCCATTTAAGATTTGAAGAAGTGACAATTGTTGTGGCAAAAAAAAAAAAAAACTTAGTTGCAAAAATTTGAATATATTTGTAAAACAATAATCTATTATATTTTAAATGCAACAGTTCATTAAACCTTCCGAAAAAACATTAAATTAAAAAAGTATTACATTTGATACATCAGGCTTTAATGGCTCATAAAGTAATATAGAGTGCGCTTATACTTCAAAAACAAAATGAGCAACAATGTGCAATTTAGTTTTTTTGTATTATTAAATTATTATTTTGTATTATTTATTATTTTATTTATATATATAACCTTTTTTTTTTACTTCATCGGAAAGGTACGAAACTTGGTAAAAGTTTTGGCACATGCTATGTGAACAAGATGTGGGGGAAAAAATAGTCACACTTGCAATCCAAAAATGAGCGAATTTAGAATTTCATCTAGTGGAGACGTTTGGTACTGCGCACAGACATCAATCTCAGATTTAGAAAATAGCTTGTTTAGATTGATGGCTTTGATTTTCTTACATTTTTTGAAAAATACATATTTTATTTGCAATTTAAAATAGTATTTTATGCATTTTTCATAACAATAATAAACTAAAACTTGTATTTTTTCACGTCAGGAATAATCGTGTATAATAAGACCAAACTTGAGCCTGTGCTCAAAAGCATTCAAGATCTATGACAGTTTAAGATGGATATTATATTTGCCAGTCTATGCTCAAAAAGTGATTAACAGGTAATAAATGGATCATAACTATTCCATAAATATAATTTGGTACCATAAAATCCCCAAAACATTAAACAAAAACATTATCTAACTAAAATATAGTACATTCACTTCATCGAAATAAACAAGGTGGCCATTTTTGCGCAGTTAAACGCTTGGTTTCAAGTTGCTTCAGTGCAGTAAGCAATAATCTTCAAATAGCGCTAACAATATAAAGTTATTCTTAATTACTTCTTAAAAACTGGTCACATCATGAACCACAAGCTAAAGGAGGATGTTTTCACAATTATACTAGCATGTTAAAACAGTCTAAACTATTAATTGGACAAGTAGATCGTGTACAACAAGTTGATCATTTGGAAATGTGTGTATTACAGTCTAGGTGAAGTCTTCATGTTTCTCGGCACTCGGGATGTTCAAGTGACCATTGTCTGAAAGCTTCACTAACGGCCTTCGGCTGTTCACTTCAGGTTGAACTGACCCTACGAAGTGTGCGAGTCCAGTGGCCTTCAAGGGCGCACAACATCTCGCTTGTTGCCGAGCAACACGACAACAAAAGGAGACTCGCCGCCTTGCTTCGACTTCCACGTTTCACAACTGGATGAGCCGCTTAATAAAACGACACACACACACGTGGATGTTGTACTGTAGTGTAGTGTGTGTGATCTGAATCTCAGTAGGCAGTGATATCGTGATTCGAGTCGACGGCAGATAAAGAGATCAACCTGTGATCCGCAAATCTCACAGGACCATCACAGACTCGGCAAAGAGAAAAGGAAGACACACACTCTTTCTCAGCCCAAGTGATCTATACCTTGATTAAGCGCACGCTGCGCTGTGGCGGACGTGGAAACTAATGAGGACTGACAGGGGGATAATTGAATCCCGTTCACACACACTTTAGTGCCTGAATGTCCCAGATTCCTCTACATCACAGACGGTATACGCCCATGGACCGCCCGGAGTCAACACGCTTCACAGGAATATAAAAACACAACTGGCATGTGCGAACTGAAAATCACAAGCTCAAACCTGATTGGCTGGCTTTGAGTGAGAGCCTAAGTCCCTCCCCTTCCTGTCGACCACCATGGGACCTTATTTCGGAAAAATATTGAGTGGCGAGAGACAACAAATATTTTGATCTCGTTTGAATTGTGCGCTGAATTACACATATGATGTTTGTCAATTTAAAAGATACATTTTAAAGTCAAGAAAGTCGCAGTTTGATGTAAAACCGTTGAGGTATAAGACTGTGAAAATACGCAATTACAAAGACTACAAACCCCAAAGGCGCACATTTTCTCTCAATGAATGAAGCTAACTTTACTGAGGCTAATGTCCGTCATTGTTTCTACAGTCTTACGTTATAATAGTAACGTTACGAGTGTTTTGTACCAGACTAACACACACACGAGCAGCGGATCTCACTTGTTGTTTCGCTTCTGGGAGATGTAGTTCACAGAGCGATTTTCACATAAAACTAAATGTTACTCTTCTGTTTTATGACAAACTGCGACGTTTTTGACTTTCAGAATTATCTTTTAAATTGACAAACATCATGTGTGTAATTGAGGGCACAGTTCAGACGGAATATAAACATAAGTTGTCTCTCGCCATTGACTACCATTCATATTTTTTCCGAAATAAGGTCCCATGAGCCGGAAGCGGAGGGGCGGGACTTAGGCTCTCTATAGCCATTGTTTACCAGCCCTTAAATTGTGGTCAGTCATTTCCTGTTAAAGTGGGCGGCTCTTATCTTCAAAGTCGTCTCTAGTCCCACAATGCGATAAACCCTGCGAAGCGTGATTTACAGTGAATTTAAGCTACAGCTAGGGGGCGTTGTTTCTAAATTCACTGTAAAACACGACATCAAGGGGCTTATTGCTTATATAAAACGGTTGCTTCATAAAAATATTCATTTTAAGATTTATTTTATTTATAGCAACAAAACAATATAACGTTATAACACATGTACTCCTCCGTTCCGAAGAGGTTGCTAAGCAACACATGCAGCAACAAAATCACGGCGGTTGCGCAGTAACACAGGTGTGTGTTTGTCAAGTAATTTACAATGGCTTCAAACCAATCAGAATCAAGGAATTTAATGTGAAAGCGGCAGCTCTTACCTCGAGCTGAGCCTTCAGCTCCTTGATGTGGGCGGAGTCCTGTGAGAGCCCCTCCCTCTGGGCGGAGCCTGCTAACACGTTGACTGTAGTCTCCGCCTCCTGGAGCCACTTCAGGAAGGACTCGAGCTCACGGAGGGACGTCTGCAGGCTCTTGAGCTCCGCATCCAGAGCGGCCTGGCGGTCGGACGCCCTGAGGACATCAGATCACTCATATTTAATTCATACAGTGGCGGTGACTACAGTACAGGAATTTATTTTTTCATCAATATTATAATAGAAGCATCTATTGCGATAATAACTGTATGATTACAGTAGTATTCGCTATAACTATTCAATAAAGTGTTCAATATCACTATATTATGATGGGAGTGTTGTTTTAGCATTTATTTTCCACAATATTTGTAAAAGAATAATTATAATAAGAGCCATATTATTCAATTAAAATGTATTAGTATTTATTTATTAATATAACTCATTATTTGTGATGATGCATAACAACAAAGATGCATTCATTACCATAATATTATTAATACACAACATTAATACTGAATATTTGAATGCTTATGACACGTGGTTTCAGAGAGCGTGTGTGTGTGTGTGTATATATATACCTGTTATTGACGCCGTTCCAAGCGTTGTTGAGTTTGTCCATGAGCTCTTTGACCTTGCGCGTGTCATCAGCTGCATATTCCTGCAGAAGCTGATTGGACAGCTCATTAAAGGACGTCACACACTCCTGTCCTCGACCCAGCTCCTGCAGGAACGCCTGACAACAGACAGAAATCAATGGAGACAACTACAGCACAACTGTGCCAATCCCAGCAGACGAGTGTGTGTGTGTGTGCGCACATAACCTCAGATGACTGCAGAAAATCGTTCTCAACTAAGTTAAGATGTTTGTTTCTAGCCTAAGGCAAACACTATCCACTCATGTACAAAACATTTGAATAATATATGAGTACCAAACAATCAGCGGATGAAATTATGGCTCTAGCACCCCCTACAGGTCAGCTGCAGTCAGTGTGTGTGTGTGTGTGTGTGTGTCTTTCAATCAATACAAAATAATGCACTATTGATTGACTTCTTAAATTAAATTATGAGAAACTGAAGCCTTTTTTGTCTTGTGAAAATATTGTTAATTTGGTTATATGTGGGATTTTTTTTTATATCAAAATGTAGGTTTTATTGATTTAGGTTTAACAGTTGCATGTCTTTGATTATGAAATGTTTAAAGAGAAGAATTGAAGTAATCTGACAGTTTTGATCCCTCCTTAAAGACCCTTATTCATCGTCTGGTGTCATTTAAAGCACTGAAAGTGTCTTTTGGACCTTGAACCGTTTGGTTCCCATTGAAGTCCATTATATGGAGAAAATCCTGGAATGTCTTCATCAAAAACCTAAATTTCTTTTCGACTGAAGAAAGAAAGACGTGGACATCTTGGATGACATGGGGGTGAGGAAATCATCAGCAAAAGTTTTTTTCTTAAAGTTAACTACTCCTTTAATAATACAATGAGTTTAAATGTAGGGGAAATATAGCAAAATATTAAAAGCATGAAACATCCAAAGCAGATATTTTGCCAATTAAAGGTTCACATCCACACTTTGATGATCTTACACGGCCGTCCAAACATGACCATGAAACGACTGATTACTGACAAGAATTCTAAAATTAAAAGATAAATACATAAAAATAAAATGTAAACCTGATATGATTGAAGTGTTTGGCTTTTAAAAGCAATAGTGTGATCTAAAATGTGTTGATAACCACGTCAGATGAAAATATTTTAGAAGCTTCTTGAGCCACAAATGATGTAATTATAATCCAGAAATTTGGCTTTCGTCCATTGAGCTTATTAAGACTTAAACATAAGAACACACTGAACCTCGTTTAAAACAGTTTTAGTTTTTCATTTATTTACTGTGCTCGGAAAATACATTTCAATTCATCGACTTTAGCTACGTCTGTTGTGTTCATTTGCTGAGGAAATAAGTCAAGACGATAAGGCCTAAAAAAAAAGATTTCTGCATGAATTGATAAAGAAATATTGGAAGAACGTGAGAAAGAGTGAGCGAGTGTTTTTCTTAAAGGAAGATGTACGAGCAGGGACCATGATCAGGTTAAAGCGTCCCGATGATTCCTGCTGAAAAATGTCAAGTCCTTACGCTGTAATCCATCTTTATCCCATCTGATCTGCACTTCTTTAATTGGGTTGGACGATTAATCAAAATTTAAACAGATTTTAGTGTTTATTTAATCGAATATGAGACAGTTCTGTTAGAAAAGCATAGTGGGCTTAATTGGAACATGTATCTTACAAAACCACTCCAGACTTTTAATTAAATAAAGCAATTTCATTTTGTCAGCTCCTGACAAAACACAACGAGAGTTTTTACTCTTCAGTGGAAGACTTGAATATCTATTAAGGAAACGTGTACAACTGAGATTTGGGTGAGCTTAAGATCACTTCCCCTATTCATTAAATGACAAAAGATGTTTGCTCGCACTGATCGTCACATATTTCCCACACAATATTTCTTAGTTGTAAAGTGTCTCACTAGCTTTTTAAAATGATTTAGGAGACCGGGACCGAGCCTTGTATGCTGAACAGCAAGAACAAGAGCAAAATAACGGCACATTTTTACACACTTAAGGGGAGATACACACTGAATCTGTTTATCCATTCCACTGCGCTTCCTTTCCATTGATTTCCAATGCAAACACGCTAGACGGATGTGTTCGGCTGTTGCGCTCACGTCTCGCATCTTGTGCAGCGTCTCGCGCATGACTCGAAGTTAAAAGAAGTTCAACTTTTAAAAATCCATGCACTGATTTTTCTGTTCCTGCGTGCAAAAGTACGAACCTCTCACTGAGTGAACGGTAACAATCGGAAGGAATACAGGTCAAAGGTCAAGTTCTCACCTTGTTGTCGCTGATCTGTTTGGTGAGCGGCTCTCGGCTCTGTTGCAGCAGGTTGTTGAAATGCATCTCGTTTTGACCAATAAGGGCCTTCACATTCCGCCTCTGCTCCTCCCATTGGTCGCTGTGGCCGATCATGTGATCCAGCTGCAGAAGCCGCGCCTCCACGCCGTACTGGGTGTTGTCCCATTGGCTGCGGACCTTCTCCACTGACACACAGCAGGGTAATGTTAATTGCTGCAGTCCATTTTAAAACGTCCATTTAAGTTGAATAATTGTTTTAATCTCTTGAATGAATGATTCAATGACTCACTCATAAAGATTTCACTTGTTTCATTACTGGATGAATCTGCGTTTATTAACAAATTGCTTGAATTAATGATTCAATGACTCACTCATGAATAATTCACTTGTTTCATTACTGGATGAATCAGAATATTTTAAGAAATCTCTTGAATGAATGATTTAATGACTCACTCAAAAAGACTGCACTTGTTTCATTACTGGATGAATCAGTGTTTTTGAACAAATCTCTTGAATGAATGATTCAATGACTCACTCATGAAGACGTCACTTGTCTCATTACTGGATAAATCAGTGTTTTTGAACAAATCACTTGAATGAATGATTCAATGACTCACTCATAAAGACTTCACTTGTTTCATTACTTGATGAATCTGCGTTTATGAACAAATCTCTTGAACGAATGATTCAATCACTCACTCGTAAAGACTTCACTTTTTTCATTACTGGATGAATCAGCATTTTTTAAGAAATCTCTTGAATGAATGATTTAATGACTCACTCATAAAGACTTCACTTGTTTTATTACTGGATGAATCAGTGTTTTTGAACAAATCTATTAAATGAATGATTCAATGACTCACTCAAAAATACTGCACTTGTTTCATTACTGGATGAATCAGCATTTTTGAACAAATCTCTTGAATGAATGATTTAATGACTCACTCATAAAGACTTCACTTGTTTTATTACTGGATGAATCAGTGTTTTTGAACAAATCTATTAAATGAATGATTCAATGACTCACTCATAAAGACTTCACTTGTTTCATTACTGGATGAATCAGCGTTTTTGAACAAATCTCTTGAATGAATGATTCAATGACTCACTCATAAAGACGTCACTTGTCTCATTACTGGATAAATCAGTGTTTTTGAACAAATCACTTGAATGAATGATTCAATCACTCACTCGTAAAGACTGCACTTGTTTCATTACTGGATGAATCAGCATTTTTGAACAAATCTCTTGAATGAATGATTCAATAACTCACTCATAAAGACTGCACTTGTTTCATTACTGGATGAATCAGTGTTTTTGAACAAATCTCTTGAATGAATTATTCAATGACTCACTCATAAAGACTGTACTTGTTTCATTACTGGATGAATCAGTGTTTTTGAACAAATCTCTTGAATGAATGATTCATTCCCAGACAGCAAACTGACATTGAATCAACGTGGAAACGACGTCTCTCATGACATTGAAGCAACGTTGATTTTGCTCATCGAATTAACGTTGAACCAACGTCAGACGCGGCATTCTTCAAAGCTAAATGAAAATCGAAAATTGGTTTGCTTTCATAACGTTGAAACAACGCGTTGATTTCAAGTTGATTTTCCGTTAGTTTTGAAAGAATGACGCGTCTGACGTTGGTTCAACGTTAATTCGATGAGCAAAACAATGTCAGATCAACGTTGTTTCGATGTCATATTTCCACGTTGATTCAATGTCAGTTTGCTATCTGGGTTGACTCACTCATAAAGACTTCACTTGTTTCATTACTGGATGAATCAGTGTTTTTAAACGACGTTTTATTTATCTTACTAATGATTGTAATCGATAAAACCGTTTTTTGAAGAGCCATGTTAATTTGAAAGGGTGATTTGCTCTATTTTGCACTATCGTAGACAGTGTTTATATCTGAAATACACAATTTTATCCCAGTACTTTAATAATATGAATATGTGTAACAGAAATAGCCACACCGTGTGGTTGAAAGGACTGTTTGTGAAGCTGTTTCACACACACACACACAGACACATATATGTATATATGTGTGTGTGTATATATATATGCAGATCTGTTCACTGTGATCTCATCAAAGCTTTAATAGACACAGACGAATCACTGTCAATTATGAGTGATCTCTTAATCACGATTAATCATGCAGCTCTAAGGCAAAGACTAAACACGAAATGAGGATGATGTATAATGTGCTCACGCTTCTCTGAGATGGAGGTTCGCACATCTAGGTTGGAGGTTTTGTTCTTGATGTTTTGTGCCAGAGTGATGATGTCTTCCAGCTGTGGATGTCTCTGCTCTAGATCTCCCTTAGTCACCTACAATCACAAAACCGGGCTTTGAAATCGGCCGGACGTTGTCTGTAATCGGTCAGGTCAGGGGGAAATGAGACTTGAATATCTAAAGTGAAGGGTCTAACTCTGGTGTCCTGACCTGCAGGCGGCCGATGGTGGTGCGGATCTCCTCTTTGTCTCCCACTGTGACGATGCTGGATTTGAGCATCTGGTGGATGAGGAGGAGCCAGTCCGCCAGCTCCGTGGCCGTCTGGTTGAGATCGGTCGGGCCCACCTGCTCTGGGCTGTGACGGCGCTCCTCGCTCAGCAGACTGACCATGTGAACGGCAGACGGCACACTCGCTGAGGGACACACACACAAACCAAACACTCAATTAGATCTGGAAGGGCCGTGAGAGTGGCTATTTCACCTGTCTGCACAGCACTCACTCATGGACACTTGTTTCGTCCATGGAGACAGAGGCGTCTCCTTCAACCTGACGTCCAGAGCTTTCCAATCTGCAGCCAGCTGTTCGATTTTACTCTGCATACACACACACACACACACATCATGCTCGATCTCATCCACCTCTCTATTCATGTGTACTTCAGACCACTACCATTTGGTCTCTTTAAACAGGGAAAAATCCCAGAAAACATAACATCAGTAAATCATGGAGTGCCACAAGGATCTGTGTTGGGCCCTCTACTGTTCTGCGGTCACTTGGTGAACTTGGGATTATTTTCCACTGTTATGCCTATGACACTCAGTTACACATTTCATCACGACCAGATAGGGTTGGGTATCGAGAATCTAGTATCGATTGGAACCGGGACTAACTTTTCGTTTTTCCCGGAATCGTTCAAAAGTTAAAATTTCGATTCCTAGTTTCGATATTCACAGTCCGCCGAGCGGAAGAAGAAACCGCTGAACGCCACCAATGAAGAAGCGTCTACCGGAAGTGTTGGCATAACCACGCGAGTCGAACATGAGTACCTTACGTCGCCAATCCAAAGTGTGGCTTCACTTTTCTAAAAATAACGAAATCTCGGCAAAATGCAAAATTTGTGACAAAAGGAGTATTTGTGACAGAAGGAGTATTTCCTTCAGAAAGGCCGTTGGTTAGTAAGGTTAGCTAAACTTTTTTGACCCTGCCTCTTAAAAGAATCGGAATCGAGAATCGTTAGGAACCGGAATCGAAACAAGGAATCGGAATCGGAATCAGAATCGTTCAAATTCAAACGATACCCAACCCTACGACCAGATGAAGTTTCTAAAGGCCTGTTCATACCGAGACGAATTTCGCGTGCGTTATTCGTCGACGTTCAATGCCTCGTGACTAAACAATGGGCGCCAATGTGAGTGTTCACACCGACGCGAAAAACGCCACGCGTAAAAGCGTCATTTTTAAAAAAAAGCCTCGGGTTCGTTTTTTTGGTTTAAAGGTTTTTGGTTTTTTGGTTGGCCGCGTCAAAACCTATCCGACCAACGAGATTGGCGGGTTTGCTCACGTGTCTGGTACTTCTGAAGTTACAGTAAAACACAACTTGAGGGCGCTCAAACACAAAACGGTCTTGAGCACACATACGGCGAAGAAGAGATAAGATACCTATGGGCAAGATGAATGTTGAGCTGCTGGTCTCGGAGCATAAAGAGCTATATGATAATATTTATATTAGTATTTCTGTAATAATAGTATAGTATAGGGTGACCAACAGTCCTGTTTTCCCGCGACATGTGTAAAACGGTCACTTTGTGCTTTATAGAAATCTGAGTTGAGATGAGAACTGCATAGTGTCAGTTAGATTTTGACAAGTAAGGAGAGGAGATAGATAACCGCTCTGCCGACTCTTTGTATTTTTTATTTTATTTTTCTATTGTGACCAGATGTTTGTTTGTCTCGATCCCCGTGTATGAGGACGAGTGTAACGTTTGAGTGGTTTTATTAAACGCGGGGAAATACGACAACTCTTGTCTCTCGTGCATCTGTTCATCCGACATCTGCTATGTTTTTATCTCTGGGCAACATCTCCACTTTGCGTTACACATGTCCTGTTTCCACGTCCTGTCCTGACTGTTTTTAAGTGATGAAAATGTCCTGGTTTTCAAACAAAAACTGCTGGGAAAGATCAGTTCTACAGCAAAATATAGATGGGCAAACAAGGTGGACGAGGAAGAAAAACAAGATAAAGAGGATGAAAACTAAAGATATAAATAGATTTTGTTAGTTCGTTTTTGTAAGTTTGTGAGAGCTATTTTTTGTTACATTTGGAGGCATTTCTTTTAGTTATTTATTATTTATATATTTATTTCATTATTCATTATATCATTATTTCATTCGTTTTTTTCTATCTGTCATAATAAAACATTAACACATTAATATGATCACCCTAGTATAGTATTCTATCATTATTTCTGTTTTATATTAAGCGCCATCTAATGTCAGGGAATCAATTTGCATGTTCACTCGGCTCATCGTCAGCGAAAAACGCTTGGGTGTGAACACAAAAAAACGTGTTGAAAAACGCTGACGAATAACGCGCGCTGATATTCGTCCCGGTGTGTACGGGCCTTAAAGCTGAAAGGGCGCGTTAAAGATATAAAATACTGGACGGCCTGTAATTTTCTTCTCTTGAATTTGGATAAGGCGCAGGTATTACTTATTGGACTTGTTGTATTAGGTGTTGTTTGGTAAACACCATCCCGAATACTAAAACCTCAACGGTAATTACTGTTGTGTCAGAACAGACAAACTGAATATGAAAACCAATGCAAAACATTTCTCTTGGTGTAACCTTTCACGTCAAGCTTAATTCATTAAGGTAAAATGATTTACTTTCAGGTTCATGCATTTAAAATCTGCTTTGGCATTAATTGAATTCAGTAACTGAATTGAAGCTCAGCTGAGTTTAATTTGTTGGGCGACACAAACCTTTTCCTGGGGTAACAGTATCTGTTTCCTCTGGAGCTCAATAGAGTAAGACAACAACTCCTCCAGCTCTCGCTTCTGCTCTCGCATGGACATTTCCACAACCTACACACACACACACACACACGTTAGATCTCAATACTAGACAATAAAACGTGTTATTCATTTATAAGATATAGTGGTTTCAATTGGCATGACTACTACAACAGAACAAAATGTCTTGGAAAAAAAAAGCCTAGAGGTTGTAAATAGTAATTGAACCAAATTTGCTAACTATTATGATAAATTGTAATAATGATGTCTATTGAAATCATAACGTCCAATGTTATGAAATAATACGATGTACATTTAACTTTACTGATGTCATCTGACATTTTATAATGTTTACATTACAATCAGAAAACACAAATAAGGAATTTGGACATTAGTCCAAACACTATAGGCTATTTACTTGTGATTTAGCAGAAATCATGTAAAAACTTTATAAGCCAGCAAACGCGATAGGCAACTTTATTAATATAACGTAGTCTAACACTTGACAGTAGTTCAGTAGATATGCAGTAACCGGTGAATAACGGTTATTTACGACGGTGCAAGTACACCACAGCGGCTCTAGAGACCACTGTTTTATAAAAAAAAATGTGGCTTTAAAATAGTCCAAGTGACTTCAGTGGCTCAATCTTAAGAACACTTTTTGTGTGCGAAAAAAAACAAACAAAAATAACGACTTTATTTCAACTATTGGTTTATTTCTCCCTCTGCGCGAGTCAGGTTACTAGTTTAACAGCGTAAGCTTCTGTTATTGTACGTCACACGCATCACACACATGACCAGCGTCGGCCAATAGTGAGCCTACGTGTGACGTAGCTCTACGCAATCACACTACGTTAACTGACTACAGGCTCATGGAGAAGGAAGTGAATAGTTGAAATAAAGTCGTTATTTTTGTTGTTTTTTGCGCACAAAAAGTGTTCTCGTCGTTTGATAAAGTTAAGATTGAGCCCCTGTAGTCACTTGGACTATTTTAACGATGTCTTTAATGACTTTTCGAGGCCAGCAAGTTTCAATCCCTCAAGAAGCCTATGGACTAGTATGCAGGAGCGATCCAGCTTTTAGATTTCATCATTGACAAGGATAACAAGTAAGGGATTCAGATGGAGGTTTCATGTTTTGCTTGCAGATTTGATTTATGATGTGTTCTTCCATTTGTTTTTTTGTTTGTTTTTCTTATTTAAATGTCTTGAAAAAGCCCTGTAATGCCTAAAATTGCAATAAAAAAAAATAAAAAATCTTTATTTGTGTCCCGAAGATGAACGAAGGTCTTACGGGGTTGAACAACATGAGAGTGAGTAAATACTGACAGAATTTTCATTTTTGAGTGAACTAACAAGACATGAGACTTTCGACATTTTAGAGGTCTTTGTACCATTAAAACCTCCTGCAAATTTCATAGTTTAAAACGTCCTTCTCATTATAAACAAAGCATTTATTTAATCAAGCTCCACAAAGAGCTCGTTTTTATATTGTAGGATCTTTAACATCACACAGGCAAATATATTTGCATACGACTGCCTCCAGATCAAGCCATCGACCAATAGTTTTACATCATCGCACCACAGGCCCCGCCCACTGGCATTCAGACGCTTAACGGATGACATTCGCGACACCGCGTGATCCCAGCGTCCCAAACAACTCCATGTAATATTGTAATACTGACTGTTTGGAGCCGCCCCTTAAAAAACAGAACATTTCAGACAGAGGGTCAGAAAGTGAATGGCATATATATATATATTATGGTCTGACCTGTCTCTCGGTGGGTGTGACGTCACTCAGAGACTGGCTGGAGATGTAAACCCAGTCTCCCAGTCTGTTCATGCGCTCCTGGAACTGGCCGTAGGACGGCAGCCGGGTCTCGTCCTGGACCTGCGTGTGCGTCTGCAGACGGCCCTCCACCTCACGCACCTTATCCAGCAACTTACCACTCACCTGTAAACACACACAACGGCACTCTTCACACATCATCATCACAGCCGGTTCTCGTAAAGCAGTAGCGGCAGATTAATCAGCATATAAATCACCATTCTGAGATCATCAGCATCAGCCGAGCCTACTTTGATCAACAGAAGCGCGTCACGTGCACATTTAAATTCAATTTTCAAAAGATTATCCTAACAAACAAAACCTAAACTTTTGTTGGACTCGGAGATTATCTTCTGCAATGATACAAAAGCCGATGGAAAAATCCTTTTGTGTTTTTGTGGAGGGAGTGATGAAAGTGCGGGTTGGCCTACAAAAACACATCATTACTGCAGCGCTCTATTGTGTGCGTCTCATTAAATTGTACCCACCAGACAGCGGAGTGGATGTGAAAACATGAGGGCGACACAAAAAGAGATGAGAGATCGAGAGAAAGAGACGTTGGTGTGTTTGTGTGCTCTGCAGTTGGTTTCGTACTTTACTCCAACTGATGTTGATCTGCCTTATTTTATTCACATGAAGGTCTCTGTCCTGAGGACTCAGACTGGAGCTTGACAAGATCTGAGAGCCGATTTTATTCAGCCATGACAACGTCTCATTCTGACCATCCATCTCCTCCGTTAAGGCCTGAGAGAGAGAGAGAGAGAGAGTGTGAGTTAAATGTGTGTTAAAGCAGACATTCTTATTCGCAGTTTTAGAGTGTAATCAATTAAAATAGTTTAGAATTAAACTAATAGTTTTATTTAGCTTTTATGTTACACAGATGTGTTTTAGTGAGTGTTAATGGATGGTTAGGTCTGGTGTCTGTTTTTTTTTTGGGGAAAACAACAATTTTTATTCAGAAATGATATTTTAAATTGATCAAACGTGATAGTGAAAACATTTTAAGATTGCTACTTAATAAAATGCTGTTTTTTAAACCTTCTATACATCAAAAATCCTGAAAAATGATCAGTTTCCACAAAAATATGAAGCAGCACAACTGTTTTCAACATCGATAATAATCAGAAATGTTTCATTAAGCATCGAATCGTCATTTCAGAATGATTTCCGAAGGATCATGTGACACTGAAGGACTGGAGTAATCATTAAAAATGAAAATTCAGGTTTGATTAAAGGAATAAATGACATTTTACAATATATTTACATCTCAGCATCCTCAAACCTTTTACCGGCATATGCTTGAGTCACTAACTACTGTGTCCTTAAAACATGTTTAATAGAACTAACTTAGATAAACTAAATCAAATATTGAAGATTGTTTAAGTGTAAACTGCCAATCTTAAACTATGGGTCATTTAGATGATTTAGGAAATGTTCTCATAAAATGTCTTAACTAAAAACAGCTAAATATAGTATATAAAACACAATAAAGCAAACTAGTCATCCAGTACTAAAACTAAACCAAAATTTGTAAATAAATGTAAAATGCAAAATAATAAGACATAAAGTGTAAAATAAATTTTTTAAATACGTATCGGTCTCGAAAAGACAGCGCTTGAATACTGAATTGAATTCTCCTTCACGTCTTCTTGCCATTGAACTGACTAATTCACACACAATTATGTAAAAACGGCATGTGGCAGTCTCCTAGTAAACGTAGTGGACTATGTCTCAAGTGAATGTAAACAGTAGAGAAGCAAAACGCATGTGTAACAGTATATTGGATCGGTTCATTTGGTCTTAAAGGGCCAGTGGCCTAATAATCCTGCTGCTGTGTTAATGTTTTAATGTTAATCAAACAACAAAAGACAAAGAAATCACTCACTGCTCTTGACTGATCGACTTTTAGCAGTGTTGTAGTACTCGAGACTCGGACTCGGTCTCGAGAGCATATTTTAATGGTCTTGGTCTTGTCATGGACTCGTGTGCATTTGGACTCGGAATTGACTCGTACTCGAACATTTTTTTTTTTTAGGACTCGGAATTATTCCCGAGTCCACTCGAGTTCAATTAAAAATATTTTTCATGATTATTAATGTATGTTAATAAAATATTTCTTTAAATTGATTGACACGCCCAGTGATTGGTGATTTTCTAGTGCGCAACTGCGCATGACAAATTGTAATAAAATTACTTTTAACACCACCTACTATGTGGCCGTTTTACCCTAAACTGATCATATTTTTTAAACTCTAAGTAAATTCAGTAAAATAAAAAAAAAAGGATTTCTCTAAGTAAATAAAAGTAAATTAGGTAATCAACCCTCACTGGTCTCGGTCTCGACTCGGACTCGACTCTCTCTGGTCTCGGACTCGACTCGGACTCGACTCTCTATGGACTCGGTCTCGACTCGGACTCGACTCTCTCTGGTCTCGGACTCGACTCGGACTCGACTCTCTCTGGTCTCGGTGTCGACTCGGACTCGACTCTCTATGGACTCGGTCTCGACTCGGACTCGACTCGACTCTCTATGGACTCGGTCTCGACTCGGACTCGACTCTCTCTGGTCTCGGACTCGACTCGGACTCGACTCTCTATGGACTCGGACTCGACTCGGACTCGACTCTCTAAGGACTCGGTCTCGACTCGGACTCGACTCTCTATGGACTCGGTCTCAACTCGGACTCGACTCTCTCTGGTCTCGGACTCGACTCGGACTCGACTCTCTATGGACTCGGTCTCGACTCGGACTCGACTCTCTCTGGTCTCGGTCTCGACTCGGACTCGACTCTCTATGGACTCGGTCTCGACTCGGACTCGACTCTCTCTGGTCTCGGACTCGACTCGGACTCGACTCTCTATGGACTCGGACTCGACTCGGACTCGACTCTCTATGGACTCGGTCTCGACTCGGACTCGACTCTCTATGGACTCGGTCTCGACTCGGACTCGACTTTCTCTGGTCTCGGACTCGACTCGGACTCGACTCTCTATGGACTCGGTCTCGACTCGGACTCGACTCTCTATGGACTCGGTCTCGACTCGGACTCGACTCTCTCTGGTCTCGGACTCGACTCGGACTCGACTCTCTATGGACTCGGTCTCGACTCGGACTCGACTCTCTCTGGTCTCGGACTCGACTCGGACTCGACTCTCTCTGGTCTCGGACTTGACTCGGACTCGACTCTCTCTGGTCTCGGTCTTGACTCGGACTCGACTCTCTCTGGTCTCGGTGTCGACTCGGACTCGACTCTCTATGGACTCGGTCTCGACTCGGACTCGACTCTCTCTGGTCTCAGACTCGACTCGGACTCGACTCTCTATGGACTCGGTCTCGACTCGGACTCGACTCGGACTCGACTCTCTATGGACTCGGTCTCGACTCGGACTCGACTCTCTATGGACTCGGTCTTGACTCGGACTCGACTCTCTCTGGTCTCGGTCTTGACTCGGACTCGACTCTCTCTGGTCTCGGTGTCGACTCGGACTCGACTCTCTATGGACTCGGTCTCGACTCGGACTCGACTCTCTCTGGTCTCAGACTCGACTCGGACTCGACTCTCTATGGACTCGGTCTCGACTCGGACTCGACTCGGACTCGACTCTCTATGGACTCGGTCTCGACTCGGACTCGACTCTCTATGGACTCGGACTCGACTCTCTATGGACTCGGACTCGACTCGGACTCGACTCTCTATGGACTCGGTCTCGACTCGGACTCGACTCTCTATGGACTCGGACTCGACTCGGACTCGACTCGACTCTCTATGGACTCGGTCTCGACTCGGACTCGACTCTCTCTGGTCTCGGACTCGACTCGGACTCGACTCTCTATGGACTCGGTCTTGACTCGGACTCGACTCTCTATGGACTCGGTCTCGACTCGGACTCGACTCTCTATGGACTCGGACTCGACTCGGACTCGACTCTCTCTGGTCTCGGACTCGACTCGGACTCGACTCTCTATGGACTCGGACTCGACTCTCTATGGACTCGGTCTTGACTTGGACTCGACTCTCTCTGGTCTCGGTGTCGACTCGGACTCGACTCTCTATGGACTCGGTCTTGACTCTCTCTGGTCTCGGTGTCGACTCGGACTCGACTCTCTATGGACTCGGTCTCGACTCGGACTCGACTCTCTATGGACTCGGACTCGACTCGGACTCGACTCTCTCTGGTCTCGGAATCGACTCGGACTCGACTCTCTATGGACTCGGACTCGACTCGGACTCGACTCTCTATGGACTCGGTCTTGACTCGGACTCGACTCTCTCTGGTCTCAGTGTCGACTCGGACTCGACTCTCTATGGACTCGGTCTCGACTCGGACTCGACTCTCTATGGACTCGGTCTCGACTCGGACTCGACTCGGACTCTCTATGGACTCGGTCTCGACTCGGACTCGACTCTCTATGGACTCGGTCTCGACTCGGACTCGACTCGGACTCGACTCGGACTCGACTCTCTATGGACTCGGTCTCGACTCGGACTCGACTCTCTCTGGTCTCGGTCTCGACTCGGACTCGACTCTCTCTGGTCTCGGACTCGACTCGGACTCGACTCTCTATGGACTCGGACTCGACTCGGACTCGACTCTCTATGGACTCGGTCTTGACTCGGACTCGACTCTCTATGGACTCGGTCTCGACTCGGACTCGACTCGGACTCGACTCTCTATGGACTCGGTCTCGACTCGGACTCGACTCTCTATGGACTCGGTCTCGACTCGGACTCGACTCGGACTCGACTCTCTATGGACTCGGTCTCGACTCGGACTCGACTCTCTCTGGTCTCGGTCTCGACTCGGACTCGACTCTCTCTGGTCTCGGACTCGACTCGGACTCGACTCTCTATGGACTCGGACTCGACTCGGACTCGACTCTCTATGGACTCGGTCTTGACTCGGACTCGACTCTCTCTGGTCTCGGTGTCGACTCGGACTCGACTCTCTCTGGTCTCGGACTCGACTCGGACTCGACTCGACTCTCTATGGACTCGGTCTCGACTCGGACTCGACTCTCTCTGGTCTCGGACTCGACTCGGACTCGACTCTCTCTGGTCTCGGTGTCGACTCGGACTCGACTCTCTATGGACTCGGTCTTGACTCGGACTCGACTCTCTATGGACTCGGTCTCGACTCGGACTCGACTCGGACTCGACTCTCTATGGACTCGGTCTTGACTCGGACTCGACTCTCTCTGGTCTCGGTCTTGACTCGGACTCGACTCTCTCTGGTCTCGGTGTCGACTCGGACTCGACTCTCTATGGACTCGGTCTCGACTCGGACTCGACTCGGACTCGACTCTCTATGGACTCGGTCTCGACTCGGACTCGACTCTCTATGGACTCGGACTCGACTCTCTATGGACTCGGACTCGACTCGGACTCGACTCTCTATGGACTCGGTCTCGACTCGGACTCGACTCTCTATGGACTCGGACTCGACTCGGACTCGACTCGACTCTCTATGGACTCGGTCTCGACTCGGACTCGACTCTCTCTGGTCTCGGACTCGACTCGGACTCGACTCTCTATGGACTCGGTCTTGACTCGGACTCGACTCTCTCTGGTCTCGGTGTCGACTCGGACTCGACTCTCTATGGACTCGGTCTCGACTCGGACTCGACTCTCTATGGACTCGGACTCGACTCGACTCTCTCTGGTCTCGGACTCGACTCGGACTCGACTCTCTATGGACTCGGACTCGACTCTCTATGGACTCGGTCTTGACTTGGACTCGACTCTCTCTGGTCTCGGTGTCGACTCGGACTCGACTCTCTATGGACTCGGTCTTGACTCGGACTCGACTCTCTCTGGTCTCGGTGTCGACTCGGACTCGACTCTCTATGGACTCGGTCTCGACTCGGACTCGACTCTCTATGGACTCGGACTCGACTCGGACTCGACTCTCTCTGGTCTCGGAATCGACTCGGACTCGACTCTCTATGGACTCGGACTCGACTCGGACTCGACTCTCTATGGACTCGGTCTTGACTCGGACTCGACTCTCTCTGGTCTCGGTGTCGACTCGGACTCGACTCTCTATGGACTCGGTCTCGACTCGGACTCGACTCGGACTCGACTCTCTATGGACTCGGTCTCGACTCGGACTCGACTCTCTATGGACTCGGTCTCGACTCGGACTCGACTCGGACTCGACTCTCTATGGACTCGGTCTCGACTCGGACTCGACTCTCTCTGGTCTCGGTCTCGACTCGGACTCGACTCTCTCTGGTCTCGGACTCGACTCGGACTCGACTCTCTATGGACTCGGACTCGACTCGGACTCGACTCTCTATGGACTCGGTCTTGACTCGGACTCGACTCTCTATGGACTCGGTCTCGACTCGGACTCGACTCGGACTCGACTCTCTATGGACTCGGTCTCGACTCGGACTCGACTCTCTATGGACTCGGTCTCGACTCGGACTCGACTCGGACTCGACTCTCTATGGACTCGGTCTCGACTCGGACTCGACTCTCTCTGGTCTCGGTCTCGACTCGGACTCGACTCTCTCTGGTCTCGGACTCGACTCGGACTCGACTCTCTATGGACTCGGACTCGACTCGGACTCGACTCTCTATGGACTCGGTCTTGACTCGGACTCGACTCTCTCTGGTCTCGGTGTCGACTCGGACTCGAGTGAGGTGGTCTCGACTACAACACTGACTTTTAGATCTTTATATAGATCCATCTATATTTACTGTAATGTGTACAGTGAAGACTACGCAGTGTTATTTTACATTTGATTACTTTATTAAAAAATTCTGTAGATGAAAACTGCCGTTAGACACACCTGAAAAACTATTTATATCATATTTGTTCCTTTGTGTTTATTTGTGCTGTATGTAATTTGATTATTTGTTCTTATTTTTACAACCGACTGTTTACTTGTCTTTAATCATGTTTTTAATAATGTTTTATTATATACAATACAGTACATTTTAACGTGCATAATTAAGGATGAATATATGAAGAGTTCAGATGCAAAAGCCTCTAAGTGCCATTTGAAATTTTCTTCTAAAATGAATATTTTTATCAAGCTTCTATATTTAAGTTCAGTAATTTCACTTAAATGGCAATGAAGATTACCTATTAATTGCCATTTAAGTGAAATCACTGAACTTATATATACAAGCTTGATAAAAATGGTCAATTTAGAAGAAAATGTCAAATGGCACTTAGAGGCTTTTGCATCTGAACTCTTCATATATATATTTGCAAATTAAACCAATGAATATGATTCATATTCTTTTAGTTTCTCAACCCAATATATTTAAAAATTACAAATGAAACGAAAACACAAGCATCGGTGAGTATCAAAAATAAAAGTATCAGACTCGTTCTGGAAAAAGTGGTATCAGTGCATCCCTAAGATATAATATAATGAATACATATTTAAAAATATATAGTCCTCAAGAATAGCTTGACTGTAGTCAGCTGTGTGTGTGTGTGTGTGTGTGTGTGTGCGTGTGTGTGTGTGTGTCGAACCTTGAGCTCTCTGAGGTTGTCGTCCGTGGCGGAAACGGGCAGCGTCGCCACGGCAACCTCTGTGCGCTCCAGCCACTGGGTCAGCCCAGCCGTCCGCTGAAACACATCCATCAAGACCGGATCTCCACCCATCAACCTGCACACACATCACACACATCACACACTGACACGTCTACACACACTTCTTATAAAAGCTGAAACAACAAAGATAAATCATATCAGAACTTTTGCACCTTTAATGTACAAACTGCAATGCCACTGACGGCTTTCTCAGAGAAACAGTAAATGAAACACTGACTGCATAAGTGTTGACCCCCTGACCTTCACGCCCACTGTACATTTATGACTTTGGCTGGGGTGTGTGTGCTGTGGTGATGGTAACCTGCGCTGGCGGTCGCACACTTGTCTCTGGACGCGTGTCCATCGGTGTCTCAGCGTGTCCAGCTTGTCCTGCAGCAGAGCGGCGTCCGGGGTCGACACCTGACCGATGATGTGCTCTCCTGACCCGCTCAAAACCACCATCACAGACTGATGAGAGGCCAAACCCTCCTCCAGATCCTACACACACACACACACACACTGGGGTTAATGGACAGTTGGCCTGTGAGTGTTTCACTGATAAACATGACGTTGGTAATTCTCTTCATATGCAATTGAGGGCAAGACATGTGCCTGACCTTCGTTTCTAATGGAGGACAATTTCACATTCAACTCGCTCTCTTTCAGCACTTTCTACACACACACACACACACACAAATACGCACTCAGACAGACAGACAGTCACACACACACACACACAAACCCTCAAAAGCTGCCCCAGACTGTGAAACACACACACACACACACACACTAGGGCTGGGTATTGACACAAATTTCACAATTCGATTCGATTTCAATTCGATTCGATTCAATGTTGATTATTTTGGATATCAGTTACAATAAATGGCACATTTTCTCAAGGAAATCAAATCTCTGAACTAATGCTGTAAACTATGGGAGTCTAGTTGTAGCCAATAGGCTTCATTAGCCTAATATGAAGGTAATAATGAACAGTTTTGTAGCTATACAAACACTTAAATTACACTTATTTAAGTTTATAATAAGAAGATTATATGAAATATAAACATTTAAATGGTGGCTGTCATAAAAACTTGCCAGATTTATTCAAATATGCATTAAATATTGAAGAACATTAAGATTATAATGCATAATATTGTGTATATATTTATCAAAATGCTCCTCTCTAGAGTTATTTTTTCTAGCTGACTAACGAGTTTATGTGGGTTTTCTGAGGTAAATATGACGATACATTGATTACAAGCTGTTTAACTGACGTCTTTCCACGGTTGAAACGCTGATTGAGCGAATCAATGTGACATGATACGGATTTGGATAAGTTGTACTCTATCTTTAACACACTTTCAGATGCTCATTCATGTTTATTTGGCGCTGTGACTGGTATTATTAAGCCGGAAGAGAGATCAGCGCTGCTGCTTCTCCAGAGCGATCTCACGCCACAGCGACAAAACGCTATTTATGTTTTTGAATTTCTAAAGAAAATGGACGTAATTTGAAAATTGAGACTTTGTTTCATATCAATAGTAAAAAAGGACAAAGATTATTGCGATTTTTTTGGATGCGCGCAGCCGCGATACAATGACCCATTCATTCAAATGAAACAGGATGACTAATAGATTCTTGAGATTTAAGAATCGATATCGGTTCGTAAAAATGAGAATCGATTCATATCGAGAAATCGATATTTATTACCCAGCCCTAACACACACACACACACACACACACGTGTAATGATCAATGTCCCGGCTGGAGTTTCCTGCATGTTCACGGATGAGGAAGAGGCCAGTGTGAAACACTCGATACACACATCAGTGGGACACACATGGGCGGTTGTTATTTTGCTCATATGCTAGAAACAATATTTCATTTTAATTGCGAGTTAGAAGTGCTTATTGACTAAATTATCACTCAACTATCAATCGGTGACTCACAGAATGACTGATCTCAATTAGCTGTCATGATTAAAGATTACTCCCTTCACAGTTTGACATTGTGATGGCATTAATGCGTGTGTGTGTGGTGTATTCCAGCTGTAGATGTGATGGGAACTGGACCCATGTTGATCCACAGATCCTCCCGAAGTGAACAACTGCTGAGGACTGTCTGGATGCGGAAATGTTTTATTCAGGATGCTGGTAAGCAAATCTTTAACCTCTGTGTCATTATAGAACGGATGTGTGACCTTTGACCTCTGACCTGTTGATGCCCCCGAGCGCGATCGAGGTCCAGTTCCCCGTCCGGTCCGATCCCGTCCGCCAGGATCTGTTCGGTGTCGCTCAGCCACTGCGAGAGATCGTTCATGTCACGGTGGAACTGCCTCCACTCCTCCACAGCTCTGTCAAAACACCTGCACACACACACACACACTCACGTCAGCACAGGATGAAACATGACGTTATCCTCATTTCTTAATTAGCAGTGTGTTCGTTTTGACTCGTTTCACTCACTCTCAAGCAAGAGATACTCAATATCAGAAATTAATTTCTCAGAGTCCACACACACACACACACACGGCTGGCCGAGCTGACGTTCAAATTCATCGTAATTTTCCGTGTTTCCACTGTTCTACCACTGGGGGCGCTGCGACGCATATTCTGAAAGAGCACTTGCTTTTTGCACAAAATGTCAATTTTTTATGAACCTTGTGTTGAAAAAATAGAATACATGAAGCGAGAATCATTTTTTGTTGTTGTTCTCTAAAAGCAGAGAGTTTGTTCTTGTTAGATATTCATACAACAAAACATTCTATATTCAAGGGGCCATGACATCATTTTTGTGAATGGTAGATGGCAACTTTTTGACACTTTGATACCTGACAGATGAATACCTGACAAGTATGAGCTAATTCAAAATGTTCATTAATACTATAATAGTTTATAAATAATAGTGACATTTGAGCTGGTTGTACTGGTGAACAGCGGGGATAAACTGGTGCAGCAGAGAGTTCAGCGTGGGTCGACTGGTCTTTGAGCAGGGAAGTCTGTCAGAGGGAGCTCGATGACACTAGGCGAGTAACTGGGTCACATTTCTGTCTAACGGTGTGGAAAACTTCCTTTGTGCCTGACTTCTGAGAGATGAAATCCTGCTCACCTTCCAGAAGAACCTGCCTCTTACATTATTAACTGAGGTTTGAAGTGAATCTCGAGAAAACATGTCTGGGTCATATTTCAAACCAAAAATCTTAGGAAATATAGAATGAGTCATTATTTTGTATGGAAATATTAAGCTTATTTTAGGCCAATTATTGTATTATGACATTATATTCATGACAATCATTTATGGTCTAGTAATTACCTTTAACATTAAAAATTGCTTTTGACTTCTTTGCAATTATAATTCTAAAATAATTCTCACTAGATTCTATAAAGCCATCATCCTAATCCAGTGAAGTAAAAAAAAAGCATTGTTGTTTTTGTATTAATTACATACTATACTACTATTTTCCAGTATGGCGCTGCCTATACCCCCCATAAACAGCCTCAAACGCGTTCTTCAGAGAGTCTATGGGTGACGTCACAGACGCTTCGTCCATATTTTTTAAAGTCTATGGTTACAACTTAATTCATTAGTTTCCAAGGCAACACTTAAGTATTTTTGAATATTTATCATTTGCTTTCGCTTTTTTAAACTAAAATATTTTAGTTAACAATAATTACCCTTTTGTCGTAGTATTGAGAATTGAAGAGGATGTGCTTAACTGTCAAGATGATGATGTCATAAAAAACATTATGGCATATTCTTGGAACTATGATGTTTATTATGATGTATATTACCCTGTGATTTAATAAAAAAAAAATTGTTAATAATCTGTAATATTTTATTCATCATTTTAATTTTGCTTCTATTAGAGTTTGATGTTTATCAGACACACTGCATCAGTATTAATGAAGGGTTCAGAAGTGAGATGCTGGGATCGGTTTCTCTCTCATCCTCATGCATTTATAATATCCAGGGACTAGACACATTTCTCTCCGGATTCTCCAAGACTCGGAGCCCAAGCCTCCACAGATATATCCCCCTCCCAACTAAATTCAGATTAGGGAGTGGACGGTTATTACTTTTTAAATTATTACATTTGCCGCCCCCAATTCTGAATGCATGGTTACATCCTTCCCTGGACTCCTCCATTAGCATGCTACGAATGGGCAAAATAACATTAGGAAATCTATCTCCAATAACAAGAAAATGAGGAAATAGAAGCTGGAATCCAAACTCTATAAATCCAAATGCTAACAACACACATCCACTAAATGCAAAAGCTGTATAATTAAGAATGAATAATCACCTTCCTCACAACTAAAGACGTTACAGAGTTCAAAACTATATCCATCATTGGTTCAGGTTCACTTTGTGATTATGGGCCATAACGGGGAGATGCAGAAAAACAGGGAATTATGGGTCATTCGGGACTCACCCTTTCCTCTGGCTGTACATGCGGTTGCCTCTGTCCCACTCTGAGTTCAGTTGTGTCAGGGCATCAGATATCTGTGCCATTTCCTGTCTGGAAGCTTCCAGAATCACATCGGGTTGGCGCTCATTAATCACTTCAACCTGCTCGCCCAACCGCTCCAAACTCTCCTTTATATTCTACAAACAGAGACACAGCGAAGTCAATACAACTGAAAACACCCATTGCTCTACTCAGTGTTGTCTCTATATCAGACATCTAATGAACAGGAAGTTATTATGGTCAGCAGTGCAGCTTGATAACTTTAGACGTAAATTGTAGCTTAACAAGCTAAAGTTTTGAAGTAGTTTCCCCAACACTTGTACTAGTATACTGATATTTGGACGCCATGGACACCACCTAACCTTGAGTGTGTCCTCCTGGCTGGAGAAGTCCTCAAACATCCCTCCGCTGAGCTCCGAGGAGTTCAGGAGCAGCTCGTTGTCGGCCATAGCCAGCAGAACCTTATTAATGTCCAGCAGATAGTCGGACGGGGAGACGGATGCGCTGCCCTCGTCCTGAGGAGAGAGGGATGACTCTGATCTCTGCGGAGGAGAAGGCGATGACTCCAAAAGCACTTCAGCAACTGGCTGCGATCTGATGATATGAAGCTCCTGCAGAGAAACAGAGAAAATATGTTGAATATAAGAAGCGTGATACATTTGGTTCTTTCACACATTCAGCATTTGCTAACAATGTAAAAGCATTTTGTTTATAAGATCTGATGTGGAAGTGTCAGCAAATCGTCTGTCAATGCTGTAACGTTGCTGTAATACAGCTGAAAACATGGTGTTAAATAGTCATAAACAGATGTAGCATAGCCTTAAACATGTTTTAACATAGCATAACAACCTTGACATTGCTGTATAAGAACATAACACGGCATTAAACATAAGAGGCATCATTACTGTCACACATCTGTAACAAAGCATTAAACAAATGTAAACTATATTGTTGCAGAATTAAAAGAACCAAAGAATAGCTTAACAGTAAACACTGTCGTAACAGCCATAAATATAGCTGTATCAAAGCCGTAACAGCAGTAAAAAATGCCGTAAATATAGCCGTAATAAAGCCGTAACAGCAGTAAACACTGTCGTAACAGCCGTAAATATAGCCGTATCAAAGCCGTAACAGCAGTAAACACTGTCGTAACAGCCGTAAATATAGCCGTATCAAAGCCGTAACAGCAGTAAACACTGTCGTAACAGCCGTAAATATAGCTGTATCAAAGCCGTAACAGCAGTAAACACTGTCGTAACAGCCGTAAATATAGCCGTATCAAAGCCGTAACAGCAGTAAACACTGTCGTAACAGCCGTAAATATAGCCGTATCAAAGCCGTAACAGCAGTAAACACTGTCGTAACAGCCGTAAATATAGCCGTATCAAAGCCGTAACAGCAGTAAACACTGTCGTAACAGCCATAAATATAGCTGTATCAAAGCCGTAACAGCAGTAAACACTGTCGTAACAGCCGTAAATATAGCCGTATCAAAGCCGTAACAGCAGTAAACACTGTCGTAACAGCCGTAAATATAGCTGTATCAAAGCCGTAACAGCAGTAAACACTGTCGTAACAGCCGTAAATATAGCCGTATCAAAGCCGTAACAGCAGTAAACACTGTCGTAACAGCCATAAATATAGCTGTATCAAAGCCGTAACAGCAGTAAACACTGTCGTAACAGCCGTAAATATAGCTGTATCAAAGCCGTAACAGCAGTAAACACTGTCGTAACAGCCGTAAATATAGCTGTATCAAAGCCGTAACAGCAGTAAACACTGTCGTAACAGCCGTAAATATAGCTGTATCAAAGCCGTAACAGCAGTAAACACTGTCGTAACAGCCGTAAATATAGCCGTATCAAAGCCGTAACAGCAGTAAACACTGTCGTAACAGCCGTAAATATAGCTGTATCAAAGCCGTAACAGCAGTAAACACTGTCGTAACAGCCGTAAATATAGCTGTATCAAAGCCGTAACAGCAGTAAACACTGTCGTAACAGCCGTAAATATAGCTGTATCAAAGCCGTAACAGCAGTAAACACTGTCGTAACAGCCGTAAATATAGCTGTATCAAAGCCGTAACAGCAGTAAACACTGTCGTAACAGCCGTAAATATAGCCGTATCAAAGCCGTAACAGCAGTAAACACTGTCGTAACAGCCGTAAATATAGCCGTATCAAAGCCGTAACAGCAGTAAACACTGTCGTAACAGCCGTAAATATAGCCGTATCAAAGCCGTAACAGCAGTAAACACTGTCGTAACAGCCGTAAATATAGCCGTATCAAAGCCGTAACAGCAGTAAACACTGTCGTAACAGCCGTAAATATAGCTGTATCAAAGCCGTAACAGCAGTAAACACTGTCGTAACAGCCGTAAATATAGCCGTATCAAAGCCGTAACAGCAGTAAACACTGTCGTAACAGCCGTAAATATAGCTGTATCAAAGCCGTAACAGCAGTAAACACTGTCGTAACAGCCGTAAATATAGCTGTATCAAAGCCGTAACAGCAGTAAACACTGTCGTAACAGCCGTAAATATAGCTGTATCAAAGCCGTAACAGCAGTAAACACTGTCGTAACAGCCATAAATATAGCTGTAACAAAGCCGTAACAGCAGTAAACACTGTCGTAACAGCCATAAATATAGCTGTATCAAAGCCGTAACAGCAGTAAACACTGTCGTAACAGCCATAAATATAGCTGTATCAAAGCCGTAACAGCAGTAAACACTGTCGTAACAGCCGTAAATATAGCTGTATCAAAGCCGTAACAGCAGTAAACACTGTCGTAACAGCCGTAAATATAGCTGTATCAAAGCCGTAACAGCAGTAAACACTGTCGTAACAGCCATAAATATAGCTGTATCAAAGCCGTAACAGCAGTAAACACTGTCGTAACAGCCGTAAATATAGCTGTATCAAAGCCGTAACAGCAGTAAACACTGTCGTAACAGCCATAAATATAGCTGTATCAAAGCCGTAACAGCAGTAAACACTGTCGTAACAGCCGTAAATATAGCTGTATCAAAGCCGTAACAGCAGTAAACACTGTCGTAACAGCCGTAAATATAGCTGTATCAAAGCCGTAACAGCAGTAAACACTGTCGTAACAGCCATAAATATAGCTGTATCAAAGCCGTAACAGCAGTAAACACTGTCGTAACAGCCGTAAATATAGCTGTATCAAAGCCGTAACAGCAGTAAACACTGTCGTAACAGCCGTAAATATAGCCGTATCAAAGCCGTAACAGCAGTAAACACTGTCGTAACAGCCATAAATATAGCTGTATCAAAGCCGTAACAGCAGTAAACACTGTCGTAACAGCCGTAAATATAGCTGTATCAAAGCCGTAACAGCAGTAAACACTGTCGTAACAGCCGTAAATATAGCCGTATCAAAGCCGTAACAGCAGTAAACACTGTCGTAACAGCCGTAAATATAGCTGTATCAAAGCCGTAACAGCAGTAAACACTGTCGTAACAGCCGTAAATATAGCTGTATCAAAGCCGTAACAGCAGTAAACACTGTCGTAACAGCCGTAAATATAGCTGTATCAAAGCCGTAACAGCAGTAAACACTGTCGTAACAGCCATAAATATAGCTGTATCAAAGCCGTAACAGCAGTAAACACTGTCGTAACAGCCGTAAATATAGCTGTATCAAAGCCGTAACAGCAGTAAACACTGTCGTAACAGCCGTAAATATAGCTGTATCAAAGCCGTAACAGCAGTAAACACTGTCGTAACAGCCATAAATATAGCTGTATCAAAGCCGTAACAGCAGTAAACACTGTCGTAACAGCCGTAAATATAGCTGTATCAAAGCCGTAACAGCAGTAAACACTGTCGTAACAGCCATAAATATAGCTGTATCAAAGCCGTAACAGCAGTAAACACTGTCGTAACAGCCGTAAATATAGCTGTATCAAAGCCGTAACAGCAGTAAACACTGTCGTAACAGCCGTAAATATAGCTGTATCAAAGCCGTAACAGCAGTAAACACTGTCGTAACAGCCATAAATATAGCTGTATCAAAGCCGTAACAGCAGTAAACACTGTCGTAACAGCCGTAAATATAGCTGTATCAAAGCCGTAACAGCAGTAAACACTGTCGTAACAGCCGTAAATATAGCCGTATCAAAGCCGTAACAGCAGTAAACACTGTCGTAACAGCCGTAAATATAGCTGTATCAAAGCCGTAACAGCAGTAAACACTGTCGTAACAGCCGTAAATATAGCTGTATCAAAGCCGTAACAGCAGTAAACACTGTCGTAACAGCCGTAAATATAGCTGTATCAAAGCCGTAACAGCAGTAAACACTGTCGTAACAGCCGTAAATATACCAATTCTGTTGGTTATGCAGTAAAACATGTTAAAAGCAAGTAAAAAACGCTCTGGTGTAGCCGTATCTAGCCGTACGTAACAGCCGTAAATATAGCTGAATCAAAGCCGTAACAGCAGTAAACACTGTCGTAACAGCCGTAAATATAGCTGTATCAAAGCCGTAACAGCAGTAAACACTGTCGTAACAGCCATAAATATAGCTGTATCAAAGCCGTAACAGCAGTAAACACTGTCGTAACAGCCGTAAATATAGCTGTATCAAAGCCGTAACAGCAGTAAACACTGTCGTAACAGCCGTAAATATAGCTGTATCAAAGCCGTAACAGCAGTAAACACTGTCGTAACAGCCGTAAATATAGCTGTATCAAAGCCGTAACAGCAGTAAACACTGTCGTAACAGCCGTAAATATAGCTGTATCAAAGCCGTAACAGCAGTAAACACTGTCGTAACAGCCGTAAATATAGCTGTATCAAAGCCGTAACAGCAGTAAACACTGTCGTAACAGCCGTAAATATAGCCGTATCAAAGCCGTAACAGCAGTAAACACTGTCGTAACAGCCATAAATATAGCTGTATCAAAGCCGTAACAGCAGTAAACACTGTCGTAACAGCCGTAAATATAGCCGTATCAAAGCCGTAACAGCAGTAAACACTGTCGTAACAGCCGTAAATATAGCTGTATCAAAGCCGTAACAGCAGTAAACACTGTCGTAACAGCCGTAAATATAGCCGTATCAAAGCCGTAACAGCAGTAAACACTGTCGTAACAGCCGTAAATATAGCTGTATCAAAGCCGTAACAGCAGTAAACACTGTCGTAACAGCCGTAAATATAGCTGTATCAAAGCCGTAACAGCAGTAAACACTGTCGTAACAGCCGTAAATATAGCTGTATCAAAGCCGTAACAGCAGTAAACACTGTCGTAACAGCCGTAAATATAGCTGTATCAAAGCCGTAACAGCAGTAAACACTGTCGTAACAGCCGTAAATATAGCTGTATCAAAGCCGTAACAGCAGTAAACACTGTCGTAACAGCCGTAAATATAGCTGTATCAAAGCCGTAACAGCAGTAAACACTGTCGTAACAGCCGTAAATATAGCTGTATCAAAGCCGTAACAGCAGTAAACACTGTCGTAACAGCCGTAAATATAGCTGTATCAAAGCCGTAACAGCAGTAAACACTGTCGTAACAGCCGTAAATATAGCTGTATCAAAGCCGTAACAGCAGTAAACACTGTCGTAACAGCCGTAAATATAGCTG